TCCACCAGTCAGTGCAGCAGAGCAGGGACATGAGTAGGTGGAGTCCTGCTATTCCAGACCCCTCATTACAACCAAGGAAAGCCCTTTAAAACTACTCTATCACCTAGGTGCTGGACACATGTTTACTAAGGGGATGTGCATGGAAGCTTGTCCTAACCTGCGGGGATTTCAGAGTGATCTCCATGCTACGCAAAGTGAAAAGGTGACTTCTGGAAATGAAGGTAACTTAGCATGCAGTCAGTCAAAAGTTTAGAAACAGAATTTCAGCTTTCTTTTTAAAGATTCATTTTGTTTTTAATTATGTGTCTCTGTGTAGATACATACATGTGAGTACAGATGCCTGTGCAAGTCAAAGAACTGGATCCTCCAAGAGCTGGAGTTACAGGCAGTGTAAGTCACTGGACATAGTTGCCAGGAACCAACTTGGGTTCTCTGCCAGAATAGTACTTGTAGGCTGGAGGGATGGCTCCAGGGTCAAAACATTTGCCTTCCATATGATCTGAGTTCAATTCCTAACACTCACATAGTGACTCACAGTCTGTAACTCTAGTTCCAGAGGATCTTCTGGATCTCTCCTGGCCTCTCTGGGTACTGTATATTCATGGTACATGGACCCAGGTTTGGTTCCTAGTACCCACATGGTGGCTCATAACCATCTGTAACTCTACTTCCAGGAGATCCAATGCCTGCTTTTGGCTGCCTTGGGCATCAGGCACACACGTGGAGCATAGAAAGCAGGACACTCATACACATAAAACATAAATATAAAATATTAAAAACACTAGAACAGTATGTGCTCTTAACTGCTGAGCCACCTCTCCAGCCCAAATTTCAGCTTTCTCAAAGCCCTGCATTATGAGTAAACTCAGCTAAGATTCAGGGTAAAATACAGCATGAACACATATGAAAATGTCATAATGAAGCCCATTATTATGTACAAACAATATATGCTACTAAAAACATTTTTAAAAAGGTTTGGAGGCAACCTTCTAAGGTTTGGCTCATTAATGAATCTGATGTTAAGTGTTTGGAAGCACCCCAGAGCTATTCTTACCTCTTCTCCAAATAAGTCCAAAGAACAATTGATTTATTTACCTTTAAAAGAATGGATCCCTGCTTGCTACTTCACTCTTGGCTCAGGCTCCACATAGACTACTCTATCCTAAGGGAGAATAGGACAAAGGAGACGCTAGCCCACTTACTAGGTAGGGGTCAGGAGAGGGCACAAACTTTATTACTTTCTGTTCGCCATAAAGAGTATCTATAACTAACTGCATCTCATGACATGAGGAAAGAAGATATTTTCTGGGTAAGTTAAATTAAGTTTGTAGCTACATGGCTTTGGTACTTCAACTAAAACCGCAAGCAGATAACCCTGGAACTATCAAAAACTGCTCCACCAAAATCCTTTCTCCAACTGGGGCTGAAAGGGTCTTGGAAATAAGCTTGCTCTTTGCTGGTCCCGATAACATACACAGCAGCTAAATGGCTTTCTTTTTTTTTTTTTTTTTTTTTCAATTGTGTTACCTGAAGGTCAATGTAGCCATCGTCTGTGCTGGAAAGCCTTGAATACTTTACTTTACTACTGGGGATTCCAGTGGCCAGGTTGGTACGAGATGGCATCATAACACGGTGACACAGCTAGTCTGAAAGGGAAAGACTGTTACTGTCTATAGGAATAACAGTATGTTACAGGCAAGGACATCAGATACCGTGTCCTGGAGTTCTGGGCTGCCATGTTATGTATCACATACACGCAACGTAGGCTTCACTGCTCTTACGACGACCTGATACTTCTTGGACACACTAAGCATACTTCCTTTATGTAGCTGGCTTGTCTTCACAGAATGACACCAAAGACATTTCACAAAGAATCAGACCCAGTGTACTTTGCCACCAATGTTTCCCGCCTAATTTTTCCAAAGTCACACAGAGGTGATGAAGACTTGAACCCAATGTTCACATTTTCAAGCCCACCACGCCCCCCAACAGTACTGCTTGCCCCTTAACGTTCCTCAGGCACTTCAAGTAACTTTTTGTTTGCTACAAAAGGGGAGGATAAGGAATGGTGTACACTCACATCAGCATCCTGTCTACTCAAATGTGATATCAGCATCCTGTCTAATCAAATGTGATATCATCCTAAGTGCAAGCGATCCGAAAAATCTTATCAATGTGGGTAACTTACTGGCTATCAATACCACACCAGACACTTCAGAGCCACCTGCCTCTCTGCTCCCATCCCAAGCATGAAACAAGTGATTCTACTTTCCACATCATGTAGCTCCTGAAAAAATGGATTTAAAAGCCTGTTTTACTCCAACTATTCAGACAGCAGTAATAAAACCACATCTACTGTATTATTTGAGAGTAGTTAAGATTAAAAAACAATGACGTTTAAATGTTAAAAATTTGAAATGTGAGCTCAGTACTGCAGGAGACGACTGTAATACCAGCTAATTGGGAGGACAGGTGTGAATATACGAAGTTGAAGGCCAGTCTGGGCTGTATATTGAGACCAGATGCTCTTCCCTACCAAAACTGAAATTTGTTGATTCTTTATAAAGTCATAAAATTATGTAAGCAAAACAGACTATTCCAATTGCAAAAGTATTTGAATTTTAAATGTAAAAGCCTATCTTTAAGAAGAAAACTAAGTATTTCAGTAGCCAGGCCTTCACTGGTGTGGTATTTTGCACATCATCTCCATAATGGCATGTGGTATTTATTCCATGTTGGTGAGGTGCCAGACTCTGCTATTACAGTCGATCTAAGGTAACTAGCATGCAAAACCTAGTGCCAAGTGGTCCTGCCTTTTTGTTAATTACATCCAGAAGCTGAGTATTAAAATGGAGCAACGCAAATCCACTTGCGGTTCTAAAAAATGTTAGATCAAGTTGCGTTAAGTACCAGGTTTTTGGTGTTGCCATCCCATAATATGCTTAATTCCTCAAACCTGGAAGTTCAAGCTAACAATAAACTCTTTTTCTTTTTCTTTTGGCAATAAACCACATGCTACAAAGTTACGTGCTTTGCCATTAAACTCGCATCAAAACAAAAATGTTGCGGGGTATGAGCGAGCTTTGTGCTTTTCTTAGCAAAGGATTCTAGAAGGGAGTTAAGTTATCACACCCTAAACGACAAGTCAAAAAAATAGCAGCCCAAGTTTCTACTATGCTTTTTACGGGTCCCACCGCAACCTTGGCCACCCCCCGCCCCCCAAGCACCTGCGCGTGGCGCTGTGGGCAGCCTCCCGCCGGCCTCCGCCGTCTCCACCCACGGTCAGGACCCACGCGAACTTAGCACTAACAAAACTGGCTCCGGGGAGAGCCTCGGTGGCGGGGCGAGGCCTCGCGGCTGGCTTCCGGGAGCGTGCTCCCGCCCCTACCCGCGCAGCGCGCCCCGTTCTCCGTTAGGCGCTAGCAGCGCTCGCCCAACAGCCAACCGCGGTCAGAGCGCGAGCCCGCCGGAAGTGGTGTGCGAATGGAGGCGCACCGGAAGTGGCGCCACCAGGAAGCAACGTCATCGCACCCAGCGGCGCAAGGTTGGAGAGCTTCAACTTTTTTTTTTTTTTAAAGTTTCTCTATGTAGTGCTAGCTGTCCTGGGACTCACTACGCTGACCAGGCTGGCCTCGAACTCAGAGTTCCCCCTGCTTCTGCCTCCCTAGTGCTGGAAACATCCAGCGGGCCAGCAGTTTGGGCTTGCGCTGGTGACCTGGGCCTGCCACCTCCATATGGTGGGTGATCCCTCCCACCCGGATCGAACCCTACCTAGCGAGCCTGTTAATGTGGTTCCAGCCCAGACCCTCCATGGACAAGTTTGCACAGTGCAATCCCCGGGACCCGGAGGGTGGGCAAGGGACTGGCCAGGACTCTTTCTCTGTCCTAGACAGCCCTAAGCTGACACTGGTCTGTACCCACTGGCATTCTCTTAGCCCCAGATTTTTGTGCTAGTTTCTCTGTCTGGTTATCAGACCACACCCAGGTTAGAGTCCTACCGACTAGACACCATTACATGCAACAGTGACCAGTCTTCATAAAGCATGTCCATCACCCCAGAGTTCTAAGTGAGGTATATTTGCAGTCAATTTCCTCCTCTACGTGTTGGCACAAAGCTTTGAATGTAGTAGCTACTGGCTATGAGCTCTAATCAACATCCTGGAATAATCAAAGCTGTACCCTCCACAAACTGCCAAATACAAAATACAATGGTAAAACTAATTTGGGGACTGTGGAGATAGCTTAGTATTTAAAAGCCCTCAAAAGTGTGGTCCACCGGTAAATTCAGCCTGGAAGCAGATAGGACTTGTTCTACTAGCCCTGGGTTTGAGACCCTGCCTCAACAAGGTAGAAACAAAAAATGACTCCCTATATCAACCCAGACTTTCTACATGCATACCCACATACCTGCAAAATACACTCACACATTAAAAACTAAAAAGGGATGGTGGGGTAATTTGGGATGAGCAATGCTTACTGAGTCAAGGTGCTTGTCTCCAAGCCTTAAGAACTGCATTCAATCCCTGGAAGCTACATCATAGTGGGTGTCCTCTGCACTCAACATATGAGCCTCCACACATACACAGTGGATATAAAGCATTCAAGTATTCTTTAGTATGTAGCATGTCATGATTTTCCTTCAAACCCACAAGGCCTTTTTAACCCTTGCTTGGATCAAGTATCCGTAAGATTTAAACTAGGCCTTTATTTGAGATGGAGGGGGTGGTGTCTATGTAGTCCTGGCTGGCTTAGGAAGAGATCCACCTGCCCCTTGCCTCTGTGCTAGAAGTATTTTAAAAGCTACATCCCAAACAAGACTACTCATGCTAGAAATTTTTTTGTATAACCTAATCACACAGACTAAAGCTAAACATTTTTTGTTATCTCCATGATGTATTAACTCCAGGCTGCTTTAAAATGGAAGAGAACAAAAACCCATTTACATAAAAGAGTAACTTTCAGAGTCCACTAGACATGGTTCAAAGACACTGCTTTTTGACTTCTGAAATTCAGTTAACTTTATTTAAATTGAAAAACATTTCTTGAAGCTGCATTTAGTGCCAAAATCCTTTATAAAAATCACCAGTATTTCTAAAGCAGAAATATTTATGTTAAAAGAACGTTTTTACTTTGGAGTTTATTCTTTAGACAAATGGTGGAGAATAGAGAGGAGAAGTAGGTTATTTACAGAAGATATCTACATATGTACTCAGGTACAAAGTCGGCGACAGGAGAGACTTCAGAACAGGCTGGCATCTTGGAAGATGTTCTCAAAGACGTCGCTTTCTCAGATTCTAGCAATGCCTAAGAGCCTTCTTCATCTTCAATCTTAGGAGCCAAATAATACTTTAAGTGTCCCATGTCAGAAATTTTATACTCTACAACTGAAAGACAGGAAAAATTAATTACCAAGGAGTACTATAAATGCCACACTACAAAACAATGTTCAAACGTAATATCTTACCAAGGGGTACATCTGCAGACATACTGAGTGTTACTGTAGGAGATAGTGGAGTGGCTTTTGTGAAAAAGTTCAGGTACCTCAGTGCAAAAGTTAGCTGAACTGGCTCATTCATCTCTATGGCTACCTAGAGGAGAAAATAGGCTCATTATAGACAACATCAAGAAACTCATACTAAATTAGTTCCTAATATACAGTACAAAACAAAAACCTCTAGTTATCACTTTGAAGGGTTTTATGAAAACTTTGAAGACTGACTAAGGAAAAGTAATGTATTTAGCTTGTCTCTCCCATAGAACCATACCCCAAGCAAGCAAGACAGAGGAGGAGGCTGCTATCCAGATTGCAAACATTCATCTCTTCCAAAAAATGTATATAGAGAGGAAAAAGAAGTGCAACGGCAGCTAACCAGTAAGTACGTGACTAGTATGAGTAAGTCCTAGGTTCAATGTCGAACACTCAATTCCCACCCCCGAAAGTACCCAGGGCTGGAAAGCTGGTTCAGCAGTTAATACTTGATGCTTTCCCAGAAACCCAAATTTGGTTCCCAGCATCCACAGCCAGCAGCTCATAACCAACTCTAGTAACTTCAGTCCCAAGGGATCTGACACCCTTTTCTGACCTCATGGGCTCACACTGACACACAACCATGTCTAAAAATGAATTTAAAAAACCCATCAGGTTGAATGCAAGCTAAGGGACATGCTGACCAATTTTCACTGTATCACCATCAATTTTATTCAAGTTCCAATTCAAACTAATGAAATAAGGAGCATGTGAATATGAAAAATTCCTTCATTTTCCTTGTTGTAGTAAGAATTATACTTCACACAAAAATACTTATGAATTAAGTGTCTTGAGATCTGAGGATGACAGAGTAGAAATAATTCAGCAGACAGATTAAAGTTAAGAACCAATCCTATGGGTTGTACATATATCTATGTTCTAATCCTTAGTTATACATTTAAATTCATGCAGAAGGCAAGAAAATTATATTAAATACTTTGTGATAAGCATCACGAGTTTCACTATATTTAACACTAAAAAAATCCTATTTAGTTCAGACTTCTGTCTACAATTTAGAGAGTTTGATGCTTAGGCTAGATGGCAAAACTTTTTTAAAAACTTAGTATAATTATAAAAAAAAAGTTGCATGAAGTCTATTTCCTTTGTTCCTGTGGGTACTCTATATTAAGCCCTGTTGCCTGTGACTCAGTTGCCACTCAACTTTGCTCAGTCTGCTTTTGTACCATTAAATGGGCTAGCAAATGAACCTCCAACATTTAAAGCTACAAGAAGATCTACATGATCAACACTTTTACAACCCCCAACCACTTTCTTCTGTTCACTTGCTAATCCTCACTTATTTGTCAGTCATTTTTAGGTTAGATACCTAGCTTTCCAATCTCACCAGTGAAAGCATGTGGCATATGGAGTCATCTGAGTTCAAAGACAGCCTGATCTACTCCGACTCCATCTCAAAAGCTAGGGCTGGAGGGCTAGCTCAATAGTTAAGCTTTCAGACATTAGTTGGGTGACAGCTCTTACTACTTACAGCTTCCTCCTCTTTATCAACATTACTTGTTTGTGACAACTTAATGTTTCCATTTCCAAGCTCTCCACTTGCAGAAAACTTCACCCCATCCTTTGCACAGGATATTACAACAGCATCTCCAATATGGCTAAGGTCTCGGCATATGCGTGCAAATTCACCAGAAGGCATCTTTACTACACAGCTGTACTCCTGTTCCTGTAAATTCCAAAGTTAAAGGTCAGTAAAGAGAAGTGTGAAGACTGCTTTACTTTCTCTTGAGCATCTAACCAGAACTCAGAACACAAAACTTCTGATTTCTTTACAACTCAATTTTAGACTCTCATAGCTTAGTGAAATCGTGACATTCATTCAGTGCCACAACCCCACTTTGGAACATGCACCAGCTGGTATCACAACTTGGTAAAATGCACCATCAAAAACAAGATACCCTCTCAGCACTAGGGAGGCAGAGGCAGCCAGATCTCTGTTGAGTTCAAGGCTAGCTTGATCTACAGAGTCAGTTCCAGGACAGCCAGGGCTACAGAAAAACCCTGGCTTGAAAAACCAAAGCAAGATACTCACAGGGATTCCAAGTTGTTCAACATCTAAGTCCATTAACTTCATTTCATAGTCTGAAACTTTCTCTTGATCTAACAAAAGAAAGCAAATGTTACTGAAGCACACGTTCATATCTATGGTGTAAAATTCACAACCACAATTCTGTTAATATTCTTAGTTTTGAGAAACAGAACATCATACTTTGCTTTCTGTAACAACTGAGTTTTAAAGGTGTAACTTACTTGGTGCTTCAAATACTAGCGCTAAGGTATCAGCATTATCTTCAGCTCTTAATGTAATGATGTCTTCGTTACCAGCACATTTTAGTATTTTGGACATGCTGGAAAACAAGACACACGGCTTATCAACACATGTGCTCAACAACTATATTTTTAAAGACAATTACAAGATGTTACCATTTCACACCCACCCCGATGGAGGAACTGTTAGAGGCTAAGAGTACCCCAAATACTCTCAGGGGGTGAAGTAAATCAGGAATATGTGAACCTTAAAAAATGGCTTTGTAGCTGGGCGATGGTGGCCAACAACTTTAATCCCACCATGGAGGCAGAGGCAGGCTGAGTTCGAAGCCAGCCTGGTCTAGAGTTCCAGGAAAGCCAAGACTGTTTCATAGAGAAACCTCTCAAAAAACCCAAACCAAACAAAACCAAAAAACAGGCTTCGTAAAACCCACTAAAAGGCAATGTGCAAGGAAGCATTTTTGAGCAGGTGTCCTTGGCTTCCAGTATACTGGAGTGTGTCCATCACCTCTGGTCTTTTCATAAATCTTTTAAAGCGTATACAGGTGACACTAATCTAGGTATCTGTAGCAAAATTAAGTCATACATAGCCACTGAATACGTATACAGATGGCACTAATCCATGTAGCTGTAGCAAAGTTAAAAGCTAAGACTGGTAAATTTTCCCACAAGTGATACGTAGTGAGATTCTAGAATCCAAATCAGAAAAGGCCCATTGTCCAAGTGGACAGTACCACATTTTCACTAGAACACGTTTAATGGGCAGCTCAGATTAGCCAGGACCAGGCTGTGCCACTAAAAATAAAAAGGCTGCTGGCACTTAATGAGCAGAACTCAGCAGGCATTTTCCCGCCGACACCCGTTTTGTGGCTTTGGCGCGGAAACAGCGGGTTCGCGCGGCCGCCAGCGCGGGCTTTTCAGAACCGCGCGCTTCGCGGGGTTCGGCCCCCGGCTTCGCAGACCAATCAGAAGGCGCGGATGACCACGTCAGCCAATGAGAACACGGGGCCGGAGCCCCGGGAAGCCCCGAAGCGGGAGGGCTAGGGCCCAGTTCCCGCCACCGGCTCACCTGGTGAGGTTCACGCCCATGGCCAGGTTGCGGTCGCAGCGGTATGTGTCGAAGCCTTCCGAACGCAGAGTGAGCTGCACCAAGGAGACGTGCGACGAGTCCATGCTCTGCAGGTTCACGCCGCCCGAGCTGATGTCCCAGCAGGCCTCATTGATGAGGTCTTTGAGAGCCTCCAATACCTTCTTCAGGATGGAGCCCTGGACCAGACGAGCCTCGAACATCGTGGCGGAGTCGCGACGACTAGATGCTAGAGACTGTGACAGGAGCGAGGTCTAGCCGCTAAGGTCCCTCGGTTCGCGATGCAGAAGTCGCAGCGAGGACCTAGAGGGAAGGACTGCCAGCCCGCTGCGCCCGCAACCGTTTAATGCTGCCGCGTCCTAGGCGCGCGCTCTTCCCGTGCGCGAGGGTCGCGACGTCACCGCGACGCCCCACCCACCTCCCCTTCAGAACCAATCGTATCCGTGTTCCGCGCAAGGCCCGCCCCGCTGCGTACACAGGGGCGGGGCCGCGGCGTGCGAGCGTGGGAGGCGTAGGGCATCATGGGATCAGCGTAGGCTGTCGTCAAGGCCCGGCTTTGTGGCTGTAGGGTGGCTGCTGTTTGTTTCCTAAGACGTTTCCGCGCCACGGAAATGAAAGTCACATGCACACTGTGTGCGGCGGCCCTCCTGAAGCCCAAGCGTATACCTGCTTCAAGCACTACAGAACGCTTTCCTTTTACTACTGCGTAAGCGAAATTCGCTGCAAAATACCGAGTAATAGAGAGGCCACCATATCTTCACAACTTCAATTTCATATCACCTCACTGTGTGCGTCGCTCTGAACTTTCCTCCCTAAAGATTAAAGAATACTTCCTACTGTGAACACTTCTGCAAAGAACCCCAGAGTATTACTGTCTCTCAAGATACGTAATCCATAGGTGCCACCTAATAGTTTCGTGTTATTAGTGTTCTCATCTTAATTTTAGGTTGGAGGTGAACCCAGCCTGAACCCCATCTAGGCTGGGGGGATGAAGCCAGGGCCTAAACAAATCTCTTTGCGCCAGACGCTAAGCACCATTAACCTCACTTTAAAATCTGTACCTGTACCCATTCGTGACAGTGTCCGCTACCACAGGTGGAGCGACTTTCCCGTGTTTCTGGGCTGCTGCATTTTGTTCTACTGAAATTTCTTTCTCCTGTTGATTACAAGGTTGAGGAAAACTGAATGCAGATAGTGAACAGCTACAAACAAATATAAAGCTAATTGGTTTTCTACTTCTAATGTTTTTTCTTTTTGTTTTGTTTTTGGTGATGGATAAAATCTATTTGATACTGAAAGTGTAAAATGTTAATGTGAAACTCCACAGCTTCTATTTCGAATGCTTCTTCTGACTGTATAGAAGAAGTTCGCTGAGTATACAGACTTTTGGTGTGTGTTGTTTTTATTTGCAAGAAAAAATAAGGTTTATAAAATTTCAAAAACTTAAAAGGAATGTGGTTTTTTTGTTTGTTTGTTTGTTTGTTTTTGTTGTTTGTTTTTCGAGACAGGGTTTCTCTGTGTAGCTTTGCGCCTCTCCTGGAACTCACTTGGTAGACCAGGCTGGCCTCGAACTCACAGATCTGCCTGCCTCTGCCTCCCGAGTGCTGGGATTAAAGGCGTGCGCCACCACCGCCCGGCAAAAGGAATGTTTTAGCTGATCAGAGTGGTTTACAACTGTAATTCCAGCACATGGGAAGACTGAGGTGGGAGGGTCTGGAATTTAAAGTCGTCTTGGATCACCTACCAAGACTGACACAAAGAGGGGAAAAAAGAAATATTTTCATATGATAGTGTTAATCACACATCTTGTATATTTATCTTCCCCTTGCTTACAGCATTTCTCTTCAGTTTATCTTGTTTGTTTTTACTTTTCCTGTCTCAGGGATCTAGCCAGAAAATTTCATAAGAACTCTTATCACTGAGCTACAACCCCAGCCTGCTAAGAGGCTAACCTCAAACTCACTCTGTTGTCCATTCCGGCCTTGACCTCACAATCCAATGCCACAGCCTCTGGAGTAGCTGGGACTACAGGGCTATGCCATCAAGCTTAACTCTTTTTTTTTCTTAACTCTTTAGTTGCTTTAAATATCTTATCTTCGTTTGTAGAATTTCTCAGCTTCCGCCCCCCCCCATATGTCTACGTATGATGAGATATGGACTTATTTATCCTACTCAAAGAATTGAAGATTCATTTATTTTATCAAGTCTGGAATACTCTGGACTATTCTGACTCCAATTGCCAGTTTTCCCTACTCTATTTACTCCCTCTGGCATATCTATTAGAAGTATCTGTTTTATTGGATTTAAGATATGTTCAGTGTGATTTTTACCCCCCCCCCCCTTTTTTTCAGAGCTGAGGACCAAACCCAGGGCTTTGCCCTTGCTAGGCAAGCACTCTACCACTAAGCTAAATCCCCAACCCCTTTACCTCCTTTTTTGAGATAGGATCTCGCTATGTTCCCTTGCTGTACTGGAGCTTGCTAGGTAGACCAGGCTGACAATTTGAATTTTTCCTTTTCCTTTTTTTTTTTTTTTTTTTTTTTTGAGACAGTGTTTCTTTGTGTAACTTTGCCTGTCCTGGAACTCACTCTGTAGACCAGGCAGGCCTCGTTCTCACAGAGATCCACCTGGCTCTGCCTCCTGAGTGCTGGGATCAAAGGTGTGTGCCACCGCCGCCTGGCCAGACAATTTGATTTTTTAAAAATTTATTTCGTATATGGATGTTTGCCTGCATGCATGTTTATGCACTGTGTGCTTGCCTGGTGCCCTTGGAGGCCAGAAGACAGCATTGGATCCCCTGGAACAGGAGTTACAGGAGTTGCCTTGTGGGTTCTGGGAGTCCAACCTGGCAAGAAGTGGAAGAGCAGACAGTGCTCTTAACTACTACTGAGCCATCAGTCTGGCCCATGATTTATGTCAATTTATATGATGTACCATCATTTTACGCAGAGCAAAAGAGGAAAACTACCATACACTGCTAACTATTACCTAAAATTTCAATTTTGTAATGATTAAAAAGCACTATGATACTTTCAGCCCTCCTTTTAAATCATATATTACTCTTGTGGGAACATTTAAAGAAAACCATGGGAGCTAGGGTTCTATAGTGGGAGGGTGCTTACCTGGTGTATGTAAGGCCTAGCATGATCCACAACATCACAAAAGAGACAGAGAGGCGGTTGCACCATTTGCTTACATTCTTACATTCCAAGTTTCTCACTCAGTTGCTGCTACTACTGTTTTTAATGTATTACACTCTGCTTTGTTAAGACCATTGATGCAGCAACTCAAGAGTACCAGTCTAGGACTGGAGGGGTGGGCTCAGTGGTTAAGATCGGCGCTGGCTGCTCTTGCAAAGAATTTGAGTTCAGCTCCCAGCACCCACATGGCAGTTTATAAACCTCTGTAAGTGCACTTCTAGGAAATCTCACACCCTCTTCTGGACTCCAAGAGCACCAGGCATGCACGAGGTATACAGATATACTTGCAGACAAATACTCATATCCGTAAAATAAGAGTAATTTTAAAAAGAATGCTACTCCATTATCTCTGGAATTTCTTCCAAGTCCCTGCCATCTATTTGTAAGTTTTGATGTGGGCACTTTCTTGCTTTATTAACATTTATTTCTATGTGGTGCATGCAAGCTGGTGTATGGAGGTCAGAGGAAATCTTTTAAGAGTCAGTTCATTCCTCCACTGTGTGGATCCCACGACTGAACTCAGGTTGCCAGCGTTGGTGGTAAGTGCCTTTACCTGTTAAGCCATCTTGGCAGCCTGAATTATTCCTTCACATATCAAAATATAACGTGGGCGGGCCTTGTAGGTTAGTGTCACTGTGTGTGTAGTTAGGACCTTGAGTTAGATCTCCAGCACCACAAACAAAAATAAAACCCCATGATATAGCTACATTCATTTGTGAGAATTTTCTTTTCTTGGGCTTCTTAAAATTTTATTTCTGCCGGGTGATGGTGGCTCATGCCTTTAATCCTAGCATCAGGAGGCAGGGCCGGGCGGATCTCTGGTGAGTTTGAGGCCAGCCTGGTCTACAGAGCAAGATCCAGGACAGGCACCAAAACAACACGGAGTAACCCTGTCTCAAAAAAACAAAATACAAAAAAAACAAAAAACAAAAAACCTTTTTTCCTTTGCAAACCGTAGAATGTGTTCTTTCCCACCCATGGTACTGCTTTGCGAACAACAAATGTGCATTTTCTGTTGCTGTCTCAGTGCGAGGGGGCTTACATAATATTTTTTTAATGCCTACCCACAGAGTAATCCTTTTAAAGACTTTTTTTTTTTTTTAATGCTGGGGACTGATGTCAGGACCTCATGCAAGCTAAGCACGAGCTCTGCCACTGAGCCACACCCCAGCCCCCTGAAGATATTTTAAATGGCATATAAACTCCATTGGCATGGTACCTGCAGTGCCCATGAATTAGTTGCAAACAAGTACTTAAAAATAGCTATGCTCTAGTTGGAGAAGGCCTGTCTAAGGAGGTAGCATTTTCCCAGAGACGCTAGCTGTTTCAAGAGTGGAAGAAAGAGCATAGGAGACTGAGAATAGAATGATTAAAATGGCATTAGGGCTGGGGATGTAGCTCAGTGGGAGAGTGCTTGCCAAACACACACAAGTCTCTAGGTTCCATCCCCAGCAAAACACACACACACACACACACACACACACACACACACACACACACACACACACGGGGAGGGGTGGAGGAGAGGGAAAGAGAGACAGAGGCATGCTGAGATGTGCAGTTCAGTAGCTTGTGATAGAACCCAAAGGTTAACATGGCTGGAACATGATAAACAATGGGAGAATGATGCAGGTGAGACTGCAGAGAGAAGCAGGGTGGATCATGAGGACCGTGTCTGTCCTTTGTAAGGACAAGGAAACATTAAAACAGGCCCCTCCACTTTGAATACAAGGTCTCACGGTGTAGGTTAGGCTACCCTGGAACTTGCTATATAGCCTAGGCTAGCCTCAAACTTAGGACCCTTTCTACAACACGTCTTTGAAATGATTCAATTTACTTTTTCAAGGGATCTCTTTAACATTTAGAAAAGATATAAATGAATTATGCACATTTTTATCTGAAGCCTGGCTAAACTTGTAGAATATATCTATGGACTCTTCCCAGTAACCATTCTTCAAATTCCAGGTGAAGAATTCAAATTTAAGCTAGGTGTCGTGACAAAAGTTGGTAATGAAGTAGAAAAGAGCAATTATTAGATATTGGTTTATTGATTGATTTTGTGGAAGCACTGCTTGTACTGTGTTGTCAAACATAACTTCGTCTTGCTACCTAGAACAGAATGACCTGGACAAGGGCCGAGACAATTGAAAACTCGTAGCTCCAAGGCAGTCGTTGCCCTTAGCAACCTG